GCAAAGAAAGTAATTTCTTTAGATGGAATATACTCTTGGTGAAGATGTTAGGAAGACTTTTGAAATGACAACAAAGGATTTAGATTATTATATGAACTTAGTTGATAAAGCAACAATAGGGTTTGAGAGGATTGACTCCAGTTAAAAGAAGTTCTGTATATATAATGCTATCAAACAACATCATGTGCTATGTAGAAATTGTTTGTAAAAGGAGGAGCCGGTGATGCACACTTCATTGTGTAGAATTGTTTGTAGAAATTGTTTGTAAATTGTTTGTAAAAGGAGGAGAAATTGTTTGTAAAAGGAGGAGCCGATGATGCACATTTCATTGTCCTGTTTTGAGAAATAAGACCCCAACCTTCAGCAGTTATCTCCCTGATCAAGCAGCGGCCATCAACATGGAGGCAGGATTCCCCTAGCAAAGAGATTATGACTCACTGAAAGCTCAGATAATGGTTAGCATTTTTATTTTTAAAGATTTTATTTATTTATTTGACAGAGAGAGACACAGCGAGAGAGGGAACACAAGCAGGGGGAGTGGGAGAGGGAGAAGCAGGCTCCCCACGGAGCAGGGAGCCCGATGGCGGGGCTCGATCCCAGGACCCTGGGATCATGACCTGAGCCGAAGGCAGACGCTTAACGGCTGAGCCACCCAGGCACCCATAATGGTTAGCATTTTTTAGCAACAATATATTAATTAAGGTATGTACATTTTTTTAGACATAATGATATTGTACACTTAGTAGACTACAGGATAGTGTAAATACAACTTTAATATATACTGGGAAACCAAAAAATTCATTTGTGACATTCACTTTATTGTGGTGGTCTAGAACCATACCTGCAGTACCTCTGAGGTATATGCCTGTACTCAGCAATAGAAAGGAACAAGTCACTGATACATACAATATGAATAAATCTCAAAACATGTCCAGTGAAAGAAGCCTTACATGAAAAGATATATACTATCTAAATTCATTTGTATGAAGGTCTAGAAAAGGTGAAACCTTTCTGTGGTGCAAAAGCTAGAACAAAAGCATATGAAGGTTGGAGTGTGCCTGGCATATTTAAGAAGTTCTAAGGAGGCCAGTGTGGCTGGAGGGGAAAAAGGCAAGAAAAGAGGTAAGAGGGATGGGTGAAAGCAGAAGACCAGATCTTGTAGGCCACTTTAAAAAGACTTTTTGCTCTGAATTAAAAGGGGAGTCCTGGAGAACTTTGAATAGAGGAGAGACATTATCTGATTGTAAAAGGATTGCTATGGCACCTCTAAAAATTGACTGAAAGGGGTCAGTGTAGAAGTCTGTAGATAATTTAGGAGGCTCTTGGGTTCATCCAAATGAATGATGATGGTGGCACTGATGTGTGAGGAGCTTAGACTGGTGCCTTCTACTCAGTAAATTTTAACTCAATGTTATTTAAATTCCAGATGACCAAGTCAGTTTTTAGTCAGTGAATTTTTTTGAAGGTTCAGATACTTTATTTTTAATTTTCAAGAAATATTTATTTTCTGATTGCTTATTTTTCATAGAAGAATGCTATTTTATGTTCTGCAATATCATCAGAAAGTTATTTTCTGTTTCCTGAACCATCTCTTTTTTCTTTAAGGTTGGATATTCTGTTTATCATGATCCTTTAATTTTATTGGTTTGGTGATTCCCGGCTTTCTGTTTATGTCTTCATAAAATGGGTTATGTTGACTAGTTTAGCAGTAACTAGAATGTTTTTCTTTCCAATATTTTATCATGAAAATTTACAAGTATACAGAAGGTTAAAAGGTATCTCCACCTCCTAGATTATACTGTTAACATTTTCCTCGACTTGCTTTATCACATAACTGTCCGTCTTCTTTCAAGCCTTTGATTTGTCTTTTTTTAAAAGTGCATCTCAGAGTGTTTCATAGTGGGTTTTTTTTTCTGTAGTTATATAGGCAGAGATGTGTTTTCTAAACAAGGGGAAAAATGTGTCTTTGAGTCAAATAGGTAAGGCCTTTAGTAGTCATAGTGCCCTTAAGGCTACAGGGCTGAAAAACAGAGGTAAGCTGATGTCTTCCCCAGTTATCTAACTAAGAAGGGCTTTGTTATGTAGGAGAATTTCCCTCCTGGTCTGTTGTTCTGCACCCCCACACACACTCCTAGCCAATTTTAATCTTTCTCAGAGGCACAGTGTAACCTTAGGCTTTATTATGTGATATTTTTCTCCCACATCATATATTTGTTAAGATATTAAGAATTCGCTGTTTGTGATTTAAGAAACCCAAATAACCAGTTTAAACAAGATGGAAGTTCATTTCTCATTCACATTAAGTGTAGACAACCTAGGACTTTTATGGCTTTACAGTGACCCAGGTTTCTATATTTTTGTGGTTCTGTCAAGCTTATCATGTGCCATCTTCATCTAGCCAAAATGGCTACTCCAGTTTCTGTTATGCTCACATCCCAGCCAAAAGGAAGAGAAAAAATACCCCTTGAGAATTTGTGAGAAGTTGCTTGCACCATTTTTGTTTACATCTTCTCGATCAGTACTTAGACATGCAGTCACACATAACTACTATACTACTAAGTACTTGGAAATGTGATTTTTTTTTTTTAGAGCTTTTGATAAAGATTTTATTTTTTCCTCAGGATTGTATTTAAATTCAAATTAGTTAACATGCAATGTAGTTAGTATTAGTTTCAAGAGTAGAATCTAGTGATCACTTACATATAACATCCAGTGCTTATCACAAGTGCTTATCGCAAGTGCCCTCCTTAAGCCCATCACCCTTTTAGCCTATCCTGCCACCCACCTCCCCTGCAGCAACCTTCAGTTTGTTCTCTATAGTTAAGAGTCTCTTATGGTTTGCCTCCCTCTCTGTTTTTATCTTATTTTTCCTTCCCTTCCCCTATGTTCATCTGTTTTGTTTCTTAAATTCTACATATGAGGGAAATCATGGGATATTTGTCTTCCTCTGACTGACTTATTTCGCTTAGCATAATACACTCTAGTTCCTTCCATGTTGTTGCAAATGGCAAGATTTCATTCTTTTTGATGGCTAAGTAATATTCTAATATATATATATATATATATATATATATATATATATATATATGTTACCCATTCATCAGCCAGTTGGACATCTGGGCTCTTTCCATACTTTGGCTATTGTGCTGCTATAAACATTGGGGTGCATGTGCCCCTTTGAATCAGTATTTGTGTATCTTTTGGATAAATACCTAATAATGCAATTGCTGGCTCATAGGGTAGTTTTATTTTTAACTTTATGAGGAATGTCCATACAATTTTCCAGAGTGGCTATACCAGTTTGCATTCCCACCAACATTGTAAGAGGGTTCTTCTTTCTCTGCATCCTCACCAACATCTGTTGTTTCCAAAGTTGTTAATTTTAGCCATTTTGACTGGTGTGGGGTGGTATCTCATTGTGATTTTAATTTGTATTTCACTGATGATGAGTGATGTTGAGCATTTTTTCATGTGTCTATTAGCCATTTGTAAGTTTTCTTTGGAGAAATGTCTGTTTGTGTCTTCTGCCCATTTCTTAAGTGGATTATTTATTTTTTGAGTGTTGAGATTGAAAATTTCGTTATAGACTTTGGGCTCTAGCCCTTTATCTGATACATCATTTGTAAATATCTTCTGTGGGTTGCCTTTTAGTTTTGTTGATTGTTTACTCTGCTGTATAGAAGCTTTTTATTTTGGTGAAGTCCCAATAGTTCATTTTTGCTTTTGTTTCCCTTGCCTCAAGAGACATACCTAGAAAGAAGTTGCCACAGCTAATGTCAAAGACATTAGTTACTGCCTGTGTTTTCCTCTAGGATTTTGATGGATTCCTGTCTCACATTTAGGTCTTTCATCCATTTTAAGTTTATTTTTGTGTATGATGTAAGAAAATAGTCCAGTTTCATTCTTCTAAGTGTGGCTGCTCAATTTTCCCAACACCAATTGTTGAAGAGACTGTCTTTTTTCCATTGGATATTCTTTCCTGCTTTGTTGAAGATTAGTTGACCGTATAGTTGTGGGTCCACTTCTAGGTTCTCTATTCTGTTCCGTTGATCCATGTGTTTGTTTTTGTGCCAGTATCATGCTGTCTTGATGATTACAGCTTTGTAATATGGCTTGAAGTCTGGAATTGTGATGCCTCCAGCTTCAATTTTCTCTTTCAACATTCCTTTCAGGGTCTTTTCTGGTTCCATACAAATTTTAGGATTGTTTCTTCTAGCTCTGTAAAAAATGCTGGTGTTATTTGGTAGGGATTGCATTCAATGTGTAGATTACTTTTGGTAGTATACACATTTTAATGATATTTGTTCTTCCAGTCCATGAGCATGGAATGTTTTTCCATTTCTTTATGTCTTCTTCATTTTCTTTCATAAGTGTTCTATAGTTTTCGTAGTGCATATCTTTTGACTCTTTGGTTAGGTTTATCCCTAGGTTTCTTGTGGGTTTTTGTGCAATTGTAAATGGGATCGATTCCTTGATTTCTCTTCTGATTCATTATTGGTATATAGAAATGCAACAGATTTCTGTAAGTTGATTTTATATCCTGCAACTTTGCTGAATTTATATATCAGTTCTAGCAAATTTTTGGTGGAGTCTTTCAGGTTTTATATATAGACTGTCATGTTGTCTGTGAAGAGTAAAAGCTTGACTTCTTCCTTGCTGATTCGGTTACCTTTTTTTTCTTTTTGTTGTCTGATTGCTGACACTAGTACTTCAAGTAGTATATTGAACAACAGTGGTGAGAGTAGACATCCCTGTCATGTTCCTGATCTTAGAGGAAAAGCTCTCAGTTTTTCCCATTAAGGATGGTGGTAGTTGTGGGTCTTTCACATATGGCCTTTTTGATGTTGAGGTATGTTCCTTCTATCCCTAATTTCTTGGGTATTTTTATCAAGGAAGGATGTTGTAATTTATCAACTGCTTTTTCTGCATTTATTGAGAGGATCATATGGTTCTTACCCTTTCTTTTATTAATGTGGCATATCATGTTGATTTATTTGCAGATATTAAACCACCCCTGGAGCCCAGGAATAAATCCCACTTGGTCGTGGTGAGTAATCCTTTTAATGTACTGTTGGATTTGATTAGCTAGTATCTTGTTGAGAATTTTTACATCCACGTTCATCAGAGATATTCGTTTGTAAATCTCCTTTTTAGTGGGGTCTTTGTCTGGTTTGGGGACCAAAGTAATGATGGCCTCATAGAATGAGTTTGGAAGTTTTCCTTCCATTTTTATTTTTTGGAACAGTTTCAGAAGATTAGTTTTTTTAAAATTTTTTCAAAATGTATTTAAATTCAATTAGCCAACATATAGTACATCATTAGTTTTTGATGTAGTGTTCAATGATTATGATTCATTAGTTGCATATAACACCCAGTGAATGCTTGGTAGAATTCCCCTGGGAAGCGATACAGCCCTGGATTCGTGTTTGTTGGGAAGCTTTTGATTACTGATTTGACTTCTTTTCTGGTTATGGGTCTGTTCAAACTTTCTATTTCCTCCTGTTTCAGTTTTGGTAGTTTATGTATCTAGGAATTTATCCATTTCTTCCAGATTGCCTAATTTGTTGGCATATAGTTGCTCATAATATTATCTTATAATTGTATTTCTTCAGTGTTGGTTGTGATCTCTCCTCTTTCATTCATGATTTTATTTATTTGGATCCTTTCTCTTTTCTTCTTGATAAGTCTGTCTAGGGGTTTATCAATCATACTAATTGTTTCAAAGAATCAGGTCCTAGCTTTGTTGATCTGTTCTACTGTTTCTTTTTTTTTTTTTTCCAAATCATTGATTTCTGCTCTAATCCTATTTCTCTTCTCCTGCTGCATTTAGACTTTATTTGCCATTCTTTTCCCAGCTCCTTTAGGTATAAGTTTAGATTGTATGTTTGAGACTTTTTTTGTTGTTGTTGTTTCTTGAGGAAGGCCTGTATTGCTATATACTTACCTCTTAGGAATGCTTTTGCTGCATCCCAAAGGTTTTAGACTGTCCTGTTTTCATTTTCATTTGCTTCCATGTATTTTTTTTTTTATTTCTTCTTTAATTTCCTGGTTAACCCATTCATCTTTAGTAGGATGTTCGTTAACCTCCATGTATTTGTGGTCTTTCCAATTTTTTTCTTTTTTTTTTTTTTAAGATTTTTTTTTTATTTATTTGACAGAGAGAGACACAGCAATCGAGGGAACACAAGCAGGAGGGGTAGGAGAGGGAGAAGCAGGCTTCCCGCTGAGCAGGGAGCCTGATGCGGGGCTCGATCCCAGGATCCTGAGATCATGACCTGAGCCGAAGGCAGACGTTTAACGACTGAGTCACGCAGGCGCCCCTCCAATTTTTTTCTTGTGGTTGACTTCAAGTTTCATAGTGTTGTCTGAAAATATGCATGGTATGGTCTCAATCTTTTTGTACTGGTTGAGGCCTATTTTGTGACCCATATATGATCTATTCTGGAGAATGTTTCATGTGCACTTGAAAAGAATGTGTATTCTGCTGCTTTAGGATGAAATGCTTTGAATGTATCTATTAAGTCGATTTGGTCCAGTGTGGTCATTAAAAGTCATTGTTTCCTTGTTGATCTTCTGCTTATATGATCTGTCTGTTGCTATGAGAGGGGTGTTAAAATCCCCTACTATTATTATATTATATCAATGAGGTGGGTTTTTTTTTTTAAGATTTTATTTATTTATTTGACAGAGACACAGTGAGAGTGGGGACACAAGTAGGGGGGAGTGGGAGATGGAGAAGCAGGCTTCCCGCGGAGCAGGGAGCCCAATGCGGGGCTTGATCCCAGGACCCTGGGATCCATGACCTGAGCCGAAGGCAGATGCTTAATGACTGAGCCACCCAGGCGCCCCTATCAATGAGATTTTTTAAGTTATTAATTGATTTATATATTTGGCTGCTCCCAAGTTGGGGGCCTAAATATTTACAATTGTTAGATCTTGTTGGCTAGACCCCTTTATTATGATATAGTGCCCTTCTTCACCTCTTATTACAGTCTTTGTTTTAAAATCTAGTTTGTCGAACACTACATCAAAAACTAATGATGTACTATATGTTAGCTAATTGAACATAATAAAAAAATAATCAAAAAAAGAAAAAATCTAGTCACACACTTTCCAGGGTCTGGCACTTCAGGAAGTGTTTCTAATGTATGCTGCCTGCACTCTGTTGTTGTGTCTTAGCTGCTCTTTCCCACAGGTCAGTCATCTACGGAGTTCCTCCTTGCTTGCAGTGGGGAGCGTTTGGGCCTTTAACTAGGTGTGCTTTGATTGGTTTGTTAAGATAAGCCTCATAAAAGAAAAAAAGAAAAAAAAAAAAAACTGGCCCAAAAAAGAAAGAGAAAAGGAAAAGGAACAAAAAAAGCAAACAAACAACTATAAACTTGATTCAAAAAAAAGACAGAAAGAAAAAAGCCTAATTCAAAACATGAGAAAAGGGAACATAGAAACAAAAAACTATAAGCCTGATCTCAAAGAAAAAAGGAAAAAACAATAAGTACATGCAGGGGGTCTGTGTTGTTCCTGTGGGAGAAAGTCCCACTGGGCTGGCTCACAGTCAGATCTGCCCTAGTAAAGCTGCCCCTGCAGGCCACAGGGGGGTGGGGCTTCATGTAAGAGCTCCAGCCTCTACTGGGGGCACTGTGTTTCTCTCTCAAGTCCAGTAGTGCTGGTGGGCAAGGGGGCAGTGTGGTGGTAGAAGGTGGCATCACTCTGCCCTCTTATCCCTGGGGAGGGGAACTGGGAGCCACTGCTGCTCAGGGGGCCCTTACAGAAAAGCGAACGATCTTCCTTTCTGTGGCCCAAGCCTCTGTCAGATCCCTGCCCTCAACCTGTCTGTCCCTGGGCCTTTGGCAAGTCTAGCACCACAGTACTCCTGTGCTTTATCTCTGGTGTGCCGCTGGGATTCAAAACTCCAAATCTTAAATAACCCGGCAAGGCATGAACCAGCTCTCCTCCCCCTGAGGACAGCCTTGCAGTGCTTTGCCCAGCGCTGCTCTGTCCCAGAAAAGCAGTCCCATGGCCATGATGGTGTCTGGAGTTTATGGTGCAGTGCAGTGAAAAGCTGTGAATGGGTTATCTGCCCTCTACGCTCACCGTTCTCCTGTGTTTTATCTCTGGTTGGGGGGGGCTAGGATTCAAAACTCCAAATCTTAAATGACCTAGCAAGGCATGGACCTGCTCTCTTCCCCTGGAGGAGAACCTCGCAGCACTGCCCCCAGCGTTGCTCTGTCCCAGAAAAGCACCTGCATGGCCATGAAGGTGCCTGGAGTCTATGGTGCAGCATAGCAAAAAGCTGTGATCATGCTATCTGCTCTCTGCACATGCATCTGTCCCCTGCTGTTGAATGGCTGCTCAGTGGCACCCACTGGGTCTGTCGTTCTTGGAGAGAGAATCTATCCTCTTCCAAATGTACTCCAGGAAGGAGGAGGTTCTCTCCCAGCACAACCCAGGGGAATCCCCACACCAGGCTGTCCACCATCCACTCCTGGGCCTCCGACCTCCCTCCCCGGGGCACTGCTGCCCGCCCAGCTTGATTCCAGTGCATGGTGTGGACTTCTAAAACCTCAGAATTTGGGCTCCACAGTTTACAAAAAACTTGCAATAGTCAGTTCCTCTCGATTCCCAAGTCAGTGGTCCTGGGGGAGTGTTTTTCTTGCATGATCCCAATACTCTCTCTCCAACCCCCCCCCTTCCTCTCCATAAAAAGGACTCCCACCCCCTCCATGGCACTGCGGCTTTTCTCTCCCCTAATTCATGTCTCTGAACCTTGCAGCTGCCATGTTCTTTCCCTCTAATTGTGTAGACTGTTTTCTTAATCCTCAGATGGATATCCTAGTTGTTCAAAATGTTCTGATGCTGATCTAGCTGTGTTCAAGGAAGGAACAAGCCCAGGGTTCTCCCACTAATCTGCCATCTTAATTCTTCCTTGGGAAATATGATCTTGATCTGAGGTGACCGTGTGTTTTACAAAACAAAGGGAGAATGGATGTTGCAAGTACAAGTAGCAGTCTCTGCCTTAGGCCTTAACATCCACGTTATTTCCAGGAAGACATTTCCCAAGCAGATTGTTCACTTTCAATGAGGAACCATTCTTAGCATGTTAGGCTGGGGAAAAGAGTCCAAACACACTTATCTGAGCCCAAGATAGTTGTTTCTGTTTAGGTGGCCATCTTGAAACAGAAGCTTCCCTCAGTGATTTTCAAAGTGCCATGGAATTGCTTTAAGAATTTTCTAAGAAAGTGGATATATACTATCTAAATAACTTTCTTAACCTTCATATCTGTTTTATAAATTGTATTTCCTAGAGTAAGAATTTATCTGAAGAAAGCATTATTCTGTGGAAGTTTGAAAGCTATTGTCAGTATCCTCTACAGATAGCAAAGGTTCTCTAGGTGGGGAGGGAGAGAGAGAAGCAGGCTCCCCGCTGAGCAGAGAGAGCCCGATGCGGGGCTCTATCCCAGGTCCCTGGGAGCATGACCTGAGCTGAAGGCAGCCGCTTAACCGACTGAGCCACCCAGGTGTCCCTGGAGTAGATATTTTTTAATTTGCTGTTTGCTTATGGGACATTTCCAGAGCCCTATTTTTGTTTTTGAACTCTTATTTGGGGGAGTGGGTCAGCGGAGTTTCTCGTGCTGTTATGCTAGAAGTCAATACCAGGTGTGCAGTTTGGGACAGCTGGAGTCTCTTTTTATTTCTGGTGTGTTAATTTTACTTTTGAGCCCAGCTCCAGTATTCTGTTTTTATTTTTTATATTCCACTTATTAATACTATGTGGTTGGGTTAGAGGTGGTGTGTTAAAGCCTGAACTTTGCTGTACATCTCTTTTTTATAATTGACATATAATTGACTTATAACATCATATTAGTTTCAGGTGCACAATGTAATTATTTGATATTTGTATATTCTGTGAGATGACTGCCACAAAAAGTCTAATTAACATCCTTCACCATACGTAGTTAAAATGTTTTTTCTTGTAATGAGAATTTTTAAGATTTCCTCTCAGCAACTTTCAAATATGAAATACAATAATTTTAAATATAGTCATTATGC